TGGAGAAAATGGCCACATAAGTAAACACTCTAAAAAAACAACACAAGCTGAACCGTCTACATCTGACACAAACATGGCTGATTTTGACCCATTGAATCCCCCTCCCAAGTTTGTACACGGTAAAAAATCTGACCCAAAACATCCATCAAAACAGAGTCGACGAGACAGTTTGACTGACCAGAACAAGCCGTCTACTCCAGATAAGCTAGCTGATACTGATGCGCAGCAACAATCAGCCACTAAACCTGACGCTCGATTTTTAACAGGTACACCTTTAAAACAACAGGAGACAGAAAAACAAAGTGCTTCCACTGCAGACAAACATAACACCACTTTAAGTCCAGCTCCTTCAAAGCAAAATACACAACATCCAAAAACATCTAACAATACTACTGTGCCTTCCATCTGGGGTTCGCCTCCAGCTCCTTCTCGTGAAACCTCTCCTCTCTTTGCAGAGGTTGTTGCCAAAGGACACCGCAAAAAATCAAAGCCTAAAGAAGTTGTGTCCAATCCATTGGGGCAGCTGAAGTCTCCGTCTCCACAGCGAAAACTGCGTAAACTAAGTGATACACCCCAGATGGAAAGAGAGGAAAGTGTCTCCCAAACTTCAACGGAGGAAAATTTCTCCCAAATCCTGGACGAATCTCAGATGTCCACAGAATCACCACAGATACATCCATCTCAACGGGATTCAGAGAGCGACCACGAATCCGTCTCCTCTGTCGTAAGCGTCTTCGATCAAGAGAGATGTGCCAGGGGACCTAAACCTGACAACAGGACCACTTCAAAACGAGGAAGTCGTCACCTTCCTTAAGTGCGTCAAGTCACGTCGAAAGCCGCTTGACGTTGCGCGGAAATTTACTCATGACATCCCCGGTCTAGTAAAACAGCTGAAGCCACTCCGCAACAGCCCTCTTTTCACGAAAAATATGCAACAGAGGATTCGAAAGCTTGTCAGAAACCTTGATCCAAGCGATCCCATCCATCTTTTTCCATGATGTTTCTACTTTTCTTTTTTTGTATATAACTTTCTCCCCAGTAACCCTCAATACAGGGGGATGTTCCACGCCCATCAAAAACAACTCTGTTCGTACGTATCTAGACATAACCCTTT